GAATCTAAAAATTTATGATATTTATTATATGAATACAATAATATTACACTACAGGCAATCCTGCATTTTGCAATATATTATAACCAAATTGTCATGATAGTTATGTAGCTGGAGAGAAAAAGGCTAAGGTGGATTATGGTTCAGCACAATGTTGCCTCTAGGCTGCATCATCTGTAATAGGCTCCGATATAAACATCACCAAGCAAATGCTCCCACAGACCATGTACAGAGCCAACACCAATCGCTCCCACAGACCATGTACAGAGCCAACGTCGATTAAGGAAACAAGAGCAACAACAATGGCAGGATTTATCACAGCTGGAGCAGAGATGCACAACTCTGCTCAGACTGGTTCCATCATGTCCAGTCTGCTGTGTCCTCAGTGGTCTGGACCAGCTTCAGCAGACCTCACTAAGTAGGGTTAGGTCGACTTGGGTCACTTTCTCTGTGTGCTGGGACTTTTGGGGATCTGGTTTATCTCCACACAGTTACCAACATGTACTGGCTCCCCACACTGCCAGGGGAAAGACTACATTCCAAATAGCCAGCAGCAGATATAGTCATCACACTGTTGGCCAGTCAACACCCCCCTGAGCCATGACACATTCAAATGCACATGCACAGGCTGTGTTCAGACCAACAAGCATGTAAAAAGAAAGCAGCATTCTCATTCATTTCAGTGAGACCACCAGGCTGGCACAGAAGGGGCTTCCTGTGTACATTCATGATAGCTGAAAGAAAACGCCTCCACCAATGCTTCCCCTTCAGTTTTTACACAGTACAGACACAGGGACCGTTTTCAGTCTGAACCAGGGATGCAACAGTATGAGATTTTTATGGTATGATAGCAGTCTCTGTATATATATATCACAGTTTTACGGTATACAACATTACACAATTACTATTATCATCAGCTACAATGACCCTCAAAGGAATGAAAAGGGTCTTTTTTTATTGCAAGTGACTGTGACAGTTGACTGAGGTGGACTGCAACATAGATTGACCATAAAGAATAAACAGAACTACAAATGTGATTTAAAAAAGGCATACAACTATGACAACATAACTAAAGCATGTTAGTTTGTATGTTAGCACCAGTAGCAGACAAAGTATTACCTTTGAATGAATGAAGGTCACATTTGGCTTTTTCCCGTTAGGGGTTCGTCACAGCAAATTGTCAGTATTACGATTCGCTGTGGCAAACCCCCAACGGCAAAAAGCCAAATGTGACATTCATCATATGGTGACAGTATTACCTTTAATTTTGTGAAAGCACTAGCCTACTATCAAACTGTAAAACTACTCTGTTACAAATCTACTGTCTCTGTTACTAATGTACTCAATGCATAAAAAAAAAAAACTAAACCATATATATTATACTGTTATATATCATTACATTAACTCATGCATTGATGTAAAAGCAGGACTTGACTGTTGCGACTGGTTGAGGTGGAGTTCTTTTGGACTACTTTGTATCCAAGTGAAACTACTGATTATTTTCATCAGGGATTGATCTGATTATTATTTTCCCCATTAATCAATTCACTTTTGTGAAAACTTCTGACAATAGTGAAAAATGGCATCACAATGTTCTAAATGATTTTCAAAACAGGTGCTAATTTATCATAGCTGCGCAATAGCACAGCCAGACTAGTCCTGCCCATACCTTCTCTCTCGCTCCCTCTCTCTCACTCACTCACTCACGCACACACTTATGTGAGCTGGGAAGGTTTGTGTGTGCGTTTCTGGGGTCAGACTGGGATTAATCCTGTTGTAACTCAGAGATTAGCAAACAAACAGTGTGGAAAATTATTTTGATAGCGCATTTCATAACCGATGTTTATATGTTTATTGCTTGTGATTAGCATTATTTGCAGGACACACTTTTGATCTGCAGGGAGAGCTTTGTTCTCAGAGCTGCACATTTTTGGTATATCCAAAGTAATCTGATGCAGCTGGTGATTTTAATTTCTTTTTTGGTGGATGGAGTTTGGTGATAGGCTATCAGCCTCCTTTCTGCCATTTGTCTGCTACATGTGTGCATGTGGTGCTTGCTGTGGAGTCTGACAGGCAATCAGGAAAGAAAGGTGCACAAGCATTGCATTTTTTTCCTTCAATACCAGAAATAAGCAAATGGTGCATGGTATGATAGACATCCATTTTCATACCATGAAACAGGTATACTGCTGCAACCCTAGTCAGAACATCCACTTCTATTACTCAACATGCTACAGGTGATGAGCTGAACACCAACAGTTAGGGAGATTCTGGACCAATGTGTTAGACAGTGTCTCTACCACCATCATCAAAACACTAAATGAGGGAATATCTTTTGGAAGAATAATGTTCATCCCTCCAGTAGAGTTCAGAGACTTGTAGCGTCAATGCCAAAGTGCACTGAAGCTGTTCTGGTATCATGTGGTGGCCCAAAAACCTTTATGTTGGGTTTTCCTTTAATTTGTCACCTGTCTGTATGCAATTTGCCCAAAAGACAAATGCATATTCAGATCGAAGCCAGCAGTCAGTATTAAGTGTTCATATGCTCACGCAACAGTGCTGGAGGGGAATAATCTGAAACTGTTCTTCTTCATCAAAAGCCAGAATAACCGTCTGCCAGCGTCACTTTATATTACAAGGAAGACTTCAAAGGCAAGATGATCCAAAAACACCAATGGTGTAATAACATGTTATTAAAAGCAACTAAATTTTGAGGAAAAAAAGTGCAACAAATATTCAAACAATTAGAAAACAAAACTATAAAAACTGTAACAAAATACATTTAATCTCAGACCAAAATCTCACAAATTCACCAGTTGCTTATTTAAAAAAGATTTAAAAAACCCTGAGGTTCAACTTTAAACTGGAGACACAGTGTGTGACTAGAAAAAAACAAATGGGTAAACTGAAAATTACTCTTTCAAAAACAACTCAACTGTAAACAAGAAGCTAAACATCATACTTATACAGTATCTGAAATTAGTTCATAGCCACCACAGCACTAAATAACAAACAAGCCTAACATAAATGAAAACTATAACCTTTAAAACTGTGTTTATAAAGGGCTCTACATAAAAAGCAGAACAGAAAAAAATACCATGCACTAAAGTTAATACAAACCCTAGGTTCTGTCATACACCCAGGTCCTACCGAGCTAACCGGCCTATGTTGCCTCTCATCACAAGACTGTCTTCAGTTGAAGGTTTGAAACAGGAACTTAACTACGAGGCATCAGCAAACACAAACACACGCACACGGTCTGACAGCCTAAACCCACATCCTCATACACAGAGTCATGCATGTGGAAACCTACTCTCATATGCATTATATGTTGGTGCCCTTTTCTGATCACTGTTTTACCATTAATGGCAGTTACTCAGCAGCAGCCTGCCCACACACAGACCTCCCTACCACCTTGAACATATTCCATTAATAGTGTTTTAGCAGACAAAACAAATGCATACCCTCTTACACACACGGACTCTAAAGAGACCCTGATGTTTTATAGCTGTCTTAATAAGTAGTGCTTTTTGAGTGCAATGCTAACCCACATGTTCAAACCTGGAAATACTGTATGTTGACAGGAGTCACATAGCAAAGCACAGGAACTGTACAAACACCAATATTACGCACAGACCCCCATACCAGATTTTAGCAATGCTTCCATTCAAGTGACTTTATAAGAGTGCAAACACTTATATTTATACAAAAATAATCACCATTTTCATTTGCCACAATGAGATTAGGGTAATAATTTGATAAATGTTTGCACTTAAAGTGCAATCATGTTGTGATGACATGAATATGTTATCATTTTACAGCAAGTCTGTTGTCTAATGCAAACTAACCTCTTTGACCTGGTTTTTATTAAAGTGGTTATGACATGGCACACCATAGACCCCTTCGGGGTTCATGACGTCAGTGGTTTGACTCAGACCTCTGGCACCTCTGTTGCAGGCCTCTCCATGTTACTTTCTCCATTTGCCAACTCTGTTATTCCTCCCTACCTCCCTAGTCAGGTATGCTAAATATTCTAAAAGTTCAGATAACGGCTAAGGTAATTGCAAAATTGACAGAAGTGAAGCACAAAAAAAAAAAAAGCTTAGTATTGTTAGATGCGACTGAAAGGTCCAGCTGCTTCGAGACGATTAAAATTCCTGTCCAGCCTCAAAATGAGCTCTTAAAATGTATTACTGGAAGGACATTCCTTGGGTTAGTTACTGGGATCTCAGTAAACACACAAGCAAACTCAAGTGACAGGAGAGGAGTGACACAGAGAGATGAAGGTAAAATTAGAAATGATGAGTAGTGAGAGAGCGCGGGAGAGTGCTTAATAAAATCAATAAGCTTTTAGTGAAATATAAAGACTACTCTGCTATAGTTTTCATGTCAACAAGTAAATTATCATCTCATCCTGATGAGTTTGTTGAAAAGAAGCTCTGTTAAATCTTGTTCAAGAGAAAGGATATAAACCAAATAAGTATTATGTGCGGCTACCTACTTTATTGTGTGACTAATTAAACAGTCACACAACCTTTGTTGTGTTTCCTGCTTTTCAACAACAAATGTGCTGAAATGTGTGTGCAGTAAAATGTGAACACAGTAAAAACTAATCTGTGAGGAAGACAATCAGGATTTAAACAAGCAGGCATACAAGTTAAAATGTCAAATGCTGCAAACCACTTGATAAAAGGCAAGAGACGTCGCATCCAGCTGAGCCTTGCGCTCATAGTCAGACTGTGGTAGTTTGGCCACTGTCTAGGAAAACAATCACACTTTTCTTGTCTCACAGATGCCACAGCAACTATTTAATCAGCCGGCTTCAAACAAGCTGAGAATGTTGAACTAGACTACAAATACCCATTTACCAGGAGGCATCTCTAAGTAATCTACTTAGATTCCAGACTAATGCTGTAATTTTAATCACCTGTGCCTGTGAAACTCATGCAAATGTCAAATGTACAACAACCAACAACCAATGAAATGAATATTAGAGCTCTTACCCATCCTCCTCTCCATCGACAGTTTTAAGACCAGCTGATGCAGTTAAGGCACTAGCGGTGGTGACATTGCCCTCAGATTCCTGACCCTGGCCAGTGGTAGATCCAGATCCAGCCTCCCCTCCGGTCAACTTGGGCAGCCCTAACAGGGCTGACTGGTGCTGAAGGAGTAGTCGCTGGGCATCCTGCAGCTGAGTGGTGGTGAAGCTGGGCAGACTAGCATAAAGGGCACTGGCCTGGGCAGCATGAGCAAGGGCCTGGGCACTGTTGTGGTCCTGGGACAAGCTGACAGACGTGGGCTGGCTTTGGGGAACAGCTTGTGGGGGCATACGGCCACTATTCCCAGCGTTGGGGGCTAGTGGCTGGGCCTGGGGATCGTTCAGAAGGTTGGGTGGAGGCACACTTGGTGCAGAAACTTGGCTCTGGTGAGCTGTGGTGGGCAGCTGGGTGCCCAGGCCTGTGCTCTGTATTTGTGTTGATAGTGACTGTGGCTTCTTCTGCTGGCAGTCCAGATGGCCAGGTTGGCCCTGAGGCTGCTGGCCAAAGCCTGCTACTCCAACATGAGAGGGCATACTTGAGGTGGTGGCCTGAACAGAGGAAGGCTGCTGTGGCTGCGTGTGGAGGAGTGCCTGTGACTGCTGAGAGCCTCCCATCATTTGACATGCTCCACTAGCTGGTCCAGAGGGAGCCAAACCACCTTGGTTGGATGCAGGCTGAGAAGCAGCAGCCTGGGGAATACCTTGGTGTGGCTGAGTAGGTGGCCTCACCTGCACTGGGGCTGCTTGGGGAACAGCAGCTGGCTGTTGTGGCAGAGAGGCATAGCCCATCTTCTGCTGCTGAACTCCCACTAGACCCTGTGTGGAGACTGGGGGTTGATTAGCAACTGCCTGGGCATAGGTGAGCTGCTGCTGAGATACAACAGATGCAGGAAGTCCAGTAGCAGTCTGGTGGCCTGGTATAGGAGAAGGCTGATGAATGTTTGCAGAAGCAGAGGGGGCCACTGTAGTCTTCACATGTGAATGGGTAATATCCTTGGTGTGTATGTGCTGTTGGGTTTGGGATACTCCCATGCTTAAACCACTGGGGAGAATTCCTTGAAAGCCCTGAGGAGGGGAAACATAATCCTGGGCATGCTGGGGTACTAGGGGGCCCCCAGCCTCTCCACTACACACACTCTCAGTATAATGGCTCAGTGTACTCATAGTGCTACTTACAGAACTACCACTTGCACTTTCCCTCTCGCAGGTGCCTGCAAAGCTCTCAGAGACAAACTGACGCATACTGAAAGATCCAGTATCACATGCAGAAGAACTGGGAGCAGAGGCCGGCGTCTCCTTGTCATAGTAATCAGCGCATGTCCATCTGCCCTTTTTGAAGGGCTCAGAGCTAGAGTCCAGCTTCACCACCCTAAAGCGAGAACTGGTGGTAGCTGCAGGTTGGGCAAGAGTAGATGATACAGGTGCAGTGGCCACGGCTGTGACAGGGGCACTCACAGGCTGTTGCACAGCAAACCCAACTCGTCCCTGGATCCCACTGGAGGGTGTCATGCCCCCAGAGGCACTGGTGGCGGCAGCAGTAGTTGTAGCCATGGTGATGTTGGAGTTGATGATCTGGCGTTGTTGGATTGTGCTGACATTAGTGGTGGTCATAAGGATAGTCCCAACTGCAACGGCACAACCACCTCCGCTCCCTCCACTGCTGCTTATGACATTAAGAGGAAAGCCACCACTGCTACTGCTAGCAGTTGTGTTGATCCCCCCTCTCGCAGGGACATTGGCAGAGCTCATCTTATTCACATTACTAACACTGCTAGTCTGGGATTTAACTATGCTAACTGCAGTGCCTGTAGCAGAAATGTGCATTTCAGGGACAGATCCTATGGCTACAATTCCTGCAGGCTGACCAACAATACTTGAAGGGGCAGTCTGGGAAACATTCTCTTGAGGGGCCCCCATGTTAGAAGGCATTTTCTGAGTGACACAAGATAAAGCTCCAGAAGTGAGGGCAGATGGAGTAGTCCCAGGTGCACAGGATGGAGAGTATACATGGCCATGGCTGGGATGGTGTACTGTCCCATTAACCATGGCCCCATCATGCTGCTGAGCCTGGTTCAGGGCATGGGGGTGTGAAGGTTGGTTGGGGGAGACAGCTCCAGGGCTCTCTACCTCATGAAAATTACTCAGTGTCTCCTCTGAAGAGCTTCTGTCTGCTCCGATTATGTCATTAGCTCGGGAGAGGGACACATCCAGGATTTCAGAAGAAGACAGATCCTCAGTGTGGGACTCATCCAGATCGTCATAGCTTTCTGTGTCCTCTGCAATACTGTTGTTGGTACTCACAGATATTTGTGCTGGAGTCACACTTGTGATCTGAAAACCACTCTTCTTTTTCATCTGAGCTCCGGCCGACTGTGTAGGTTGCAGCTGGGAATGCAGAGTCAGGCTGTGGGGAGGAGGATGATGGGGGCCCGGGGAGGATGAACCAGCAGGAGGTTGGCACTGAATCAACAGGGAGGGTTGATAATCATCGGCTGAGACGTGGCTGTTACTGACCACCGGGTTTGCCGGTGTTGACAGCGCGGAGCCGCTCCCGCTGCCTGTGTTGCTACCCCTTCTGTGAAAGACAGCCGGGTGCGCCATCTTTCTAACACTGCCAGAGTCTCCTGCAGGGTCCGGATGATGCATTTCGAAAGAATCCGGGGGGTAGTTGTTCTCTGACAGTATGCAATAAGGTTGCAGTTCGTTAACGGCGCCGTTTTGACAAAACTACGGCTAACAACACGATCAAAACCAAAATTTTGAATCAGGTGCTGGATGGCTGTTCTGAAATATCTGGTAAAGTTGTGCCAATATTTACAGCCTCTCGTACACGATTCGTTGCTCTCCAGTGACAGTTAGTGAGGCGAAAAAAGCTACTGGCCGCTTGCTGAGTAGCTAGCTAGCCAACGTCAGCTGTAATTCGCCTGCCAACTACCAGTGTTATCCGTTTGTGCCTTTGTTAAGCACAAGATAACATTTTATAGGATTTGTAATGAGGAGCTATGCTGTACTTAACGCACGCACTAACAAGCAAGAATAGCTGTGGAGTAAGTTAGCTTTTTATTAAAGGCTAGCCTGACAGAGAAGTCGCTAACGTCCGCTAGCTAGTTGCCAGTCTCCATCACCGGCTAGCTAAACACAGACTATATAGTGTCTTTTTATACGCCGACTTTGTTCAAACAAAAGAAAATGAAAACAAGCAACCTTTCATCCGGTGTTCAATGACGTTAGAGCGAATACGATCTCTTAATAGCGGAAAACAAAGGTTTAATCCATTCAACTGAATCCTCGTTTTGCTGTATCACTGATCCTCCCCAACGGTAGCGTTGTTCAGTAACGTTATGTAGCCTCCTGCACCGCTGCTGTGGCTGTGTGACGAGACTAGAGGGGAGGGGTGCTCCGTAATATGGCGACCGCGCATGATCTCTACTGCCAGACATAAAGCAGTCTGGGAGAGGCAGCCGAGCCGTCATCGACGGAAAGTGCCGAAAAGAGCCGAGTATAACGCGATGCCTCAAATAAATTTAGAGAGATCACAAATTTTCTCTGTATTTAACTCAAAGAAACATAGATTTAGGGCAAGGCGTAGATTAAATAAATACGTTAATAATTACATAATATCAAAATAGTGCACTACCTGTCAAACTGCATATATAAGCTAGTAAAGTGCAGTAGATTGCCTATTAATTTGACCGTGACCAAGATTCAAAATGTAAAGGTTACTTGCATGTTAACAAAACAATAACATATATCATAATCTCTGACATGGACTATTCTGTATAATGAATGTTTTTATGTTTAATGGAATTGCATTTGTTTCTTATTGAATAAAGGATCTGAATACACAGCTACAGTATGAGTTGGTGCTTGATTGTGTTTGCATATTGAGACAAAAACTACAAACATTTGTTATGCAATGAGGAAAACATCAACATCACAACAGTGTTTCTGAAACAAATGTGAACAGAGAGCTGCTGGATCTTTCTGCAGACACAGGTGCTGTCTACTGTACACTGGAGGATTTTTCTACACACGGGTACTGTTTAGGGCCAGACTCTTTCTGTCTGCCGTGTCTTTGAAAGATAGACATGCAGAGAGAGAAATGTAAACATTTGTCTGTAATGGTGCTCGCTATAGGTCAATGCTGAAAAGTGTAATGGTGTTCACTATAGGTCAATGAACCCTTGTGTGAAACCAGTCAGTCATTTGCATTTTCTACAATCAAGTGCTTTCTTCTCATCTCTGGATATAAAGATCCAGTAATAATTCAAACTCAGTTTTGTGTGTGTAGTGTTTATTGAAGGAGGTGGAGGAATGAGAAGCTGAAGAACAGAAGAGAAGATTGACTGTCCAGGAAGCAGATGGGCTATATCCATCGATACAAATGATAGAGGACGAGAAACAAGAGCCCAGTGCAGTGTAAGCGTCTGGTGCTGTCAGCAGCTTTAAATCACACACCACAACAAAACACACAGCATTATTGTGCCACTGCCCCAAAATGGAATGGAAACTAGAGTCGGTGGTTCCATGTGAGTGCTTGACTGAAGTGATTTCTGGGAACTGCAGTTCAAAGTACCTTGCACATGTCCAGTGTGGTGTGATTTAAGCTGATATCTGCCTCAGCTGATTATGAGAATTACCTTGTTTAGAGTGCAAGCAGTAATCAGTCATTGCCTGCTGAAGGACAGGTAGATGTAAAGGTTTGAGCATGAAAAGACAGACATGTCAACGAAGAGGTAATGATGCTGCTGAAACCAACCTACTGTAAAGTTCTTAAAACAACAAAGGATTCTTTGCCTGTGGAGAGCCCAGCGATGCTGTAGGGCGTCTGCATCTCTGGGGCTTGTCTCCACTGAGCCTTCCCTGTTCTGAATAGAGGATAGAATAGATGCTGGCTTTATTTTTATTGGACAATCCTCCCAGCAGAAAGTCATAAGAGTGAAGTACTCCTTAATAATAGTATAGTCCTAATGTCTGACAGTGATCTGGATGAAAGATTTCTATGTTAAAAAGTTATGCCACTATAAAAGTTGTTGTCTGTTCCTTATTTCATACACAGACAGAATACAGTCAGCACGATGAACTGAGCAAAGCAGTAACTTTAGAGGTGCATGCATGACTAATGAGTGAAAGGGAAACTTGAGAGCAGCCAGTGGAAATGCTGTATTTAATAATGAAGGAGAGAATCTTAGATGGTACTCATGTTAACAGCAACAGCATGTGTTTGTTATTTTATGTGTAATTTTTAAAGAAAAGTCCAGGATTAGTAAAAGCATGTCCTGTCGATCCTATATACAAACCTGACTTAAGTCATTCCAGTGCTGCAGTTTAGTTGCTAGCCTGATATTATTTAAACCTTGCATATAAATCAGGTTTTCTTAACAATTTGTTTGCCAAATATCATAGTTGCAGTTCCAGCAATTATGAGGCCAGCAACCAGAGAACTTGTTTGTTTATGTGTATTATATGGGTCACCATTAATTACAAATATATCAAATAAGAACCAGCAGAGGTGGAAAGTAACTAAGCACATTTGCTCAAGTACAATTTTGAGGTATCTGTACTTCACTTGAGTATTTTCATTTTCTCCTACTTCATACTTCAACTTCACTACATTTTACAAAAAATATTGCACTTTTTACTCACTACATTTATTTGATAACTTTAGTTATCGGTTATTTTTCCAACTGAGATTTATTAACCAAAATACAGTATAATCATAAGACTTTATTGATCCCTGGTGGGAAATTCACAAGCTACCCAGCAATGTACTTCAGAGTATAAGCATATAGGTAAGGTAGTTAGCTTGTAACAAAGTGTTTTTATACTGTGGTATTGCTACTTTTACTTAAGTAGTAAATAGATAAGATAATCCTTTATTGTCATTGTAACACATACAACAAAATTTTTGAGTGACCAGTCGGTACAGCATTAGAAAAAACCCCCATATGTAATAAGGCCATTTAAAAAAAACTTAATTTCTAGAAAAATGAAATAAACAACAGACCTCTCACGCCCCCTCTCACATACACAGGCATATTATATTTTAGCAGGATTGAGTGTGGTAAGTGCTGTTGGTTAAAAATTATTCCTGAATCTAGTGGTCCTTGGTTTGATTGCTCTGAACCATAAACCTGACAGCAGCAGTTCAAAGAGTGAACGTCCTGGGTGTGAAGTGTCCTTAATGATGTTCTGGACTTTTTTGAGGCAGCAGGAACTGTGTAGTTCTTCCAGAGTGAGGACAGGCCAGCTGGTGATCTCCTGGGCCGTATTAATGACCCTCTGGAGCGTTTTCCTCTGAGCCACTGTGCTGTTGCTGTACCATACACATATACAGTATGTAAGGATGCTCTCAATGGAGCACCAATAGGAGGACAGCAGCAGTCTCTGGGAGATGTTGTTCTTCCTGAGCATCCATAGGAAGTACAGTCTCTGCTGGGCCTTGTTAAGCAGTTTAGAGGTATTCACCACCCAGGTCAGATTAATTAATGTGGAGTCCCAGAAAGTGGAAGGCCGGCACCCTCTCTGCATGGTCCCCACTGATATGGAGTGGCAAAATGTCGGTTTTCTTCCTCCTGAAGTCAACAATGACCTCCTTAGTCTTTGAGGTATTAAGGAGCAGATTGTTCTCTCTGCACCACGTAAGCAATCTGAGTACTATAAGTAGGAGATTTCTCCTGCAATCCCAATCAACTATCAAGGGTTCAATTAATAAACTGTAAATAGCCTGTCTTTTCTTCTATGAGGTGATATTGGAAAATATCTTTTATTATAGCACCCCCATCAGGTCAATCCATGTACTTATTAAAATAATAATCATAATCACCTATATTTGGCCAAGCATGTTACACACGAGGAATTTGTTTCCGGGACAGAACCAAGGCAGCCATCTCAACTCAACCGATGGCTCTAACCATCAAGGGCAACTTGAGGGTGTGGTGTCTTGCCCAAGGACACTTCAACATGTGGACTGCAGGCACCAAGATTCAAACCTCTGACCCTCTGGTTAGGAGACAACTGCTCTACCCATTGAACCACAGTCACCCCCCAATTAAATACAGAAACTGTGCAGATACATCATCCCCCAAAGTTTCGTACACACAACTAATGACTGCAGTGTCCTCAACCCCCTCCTGCCTGAAAGCCTGTCTTGATCTATCTTCAATAGATCACTGGAGCTGTGTGTAGTCCCCTCATGCTTCAAAAGTTCCACCATCATTCCAGTTCCCAAGAAACCCTCCACCTGCAGACTGTTTGAACTCCTCCCCTCTGGATGGCGCTACAGGTCACTGTGCACCAAGACAACCAGGCACAAGGACAGTTTCCTCCCCTGGGCTATCACTCTGATTAACTCTTAACCCACAACAGTTTGACTGGACAGTAACCCTCAGTGCAATACCTGTAAATATACCTTATACATATAGATCTGTCAAATGCATATAGACTGTGTGTATATAGTACTTTATTTTTATTCCTAATGCACATTACTTCTTTACTTCTGTTCTCAGCCTTATATTGTTTACTTGCCACTGCTGCCTTACATAAGGACATGTACATACACATTGACAGCCGCTGTACCAGAGTCCAATTCCTCGTGTGTCCAACACACCTGGCCAGTAAAGCTGATTCTGATTCTAAATGTTTATAAACCTGTCGCTCTGACATCTGTAGTTATGAAATATTTTGAGAAACTGGTGTTGGCCCATCTGAAGGACATCACAGACCTACTGCTGGACCCCCAGTAGCTTGCAAATAAGTCAGTGGGTGATGCAGTCAACATGGCATTGCATTACACTTCTGCAGCACCTTGACACTCCAGGAGACCTATGCACTGATCCTTCAGTTCAGTGTTTAACACCGTCATCCCGGACATCCTCTACTCCAAACTCACCGAATTCAGTGTTACTGTTAGTAACTTTTTGGCAGCCAGGAGCCAGCAGGTGAGGCTGGGGAAAACTATATCCAGCACCTGACTAATCAGCATAGGTGCCCCCCAGGGATGTATGCTCTACCCGCTGCTGTTTTCCCTATACACCAATGACTGCACTTCAGGGGAGCCCTCAGAGGGTGTACTTCCTAGTGTTCAAAGGTTTGAACACAATTCTCAATAAATAAAATTTAAAAGTGTGTCAAGACTTTTAGCTGGTACTGTAGAAATTATATTGTACTCTAACCAGAATCCTGTCAAAGAAGAAGAAAGAACCTTGTGATCTGAACATTTTTTACTTTGACAGGAGTATTTTAAATAAACAGCTTGATCAAAGGGGTATATTCTGTTTTTTGTCAGAAGTCCATGGGGTGGTGGGGGTGAAATTGTTGTCTTTGTCTGATTACTACAACACTGATACTATTTGAATGCAACTAATATAGAAGCATTATAATGTAAAATAAAAATATCCAGCAGGGGTTGTAGCTATAGAAAATTATATTCAACAGTGTGTTGTGCCAAAATAATTTGAATTTGAATTACAACTAAGATAACGACCATGCACTTTACTGTTACCCTTCTCTTTATAAACAAATGAGCTTATGTGAATAAAAACCAAACTGTCACTTTGTTGGTTTTAAAGATTAAAAAGATTGAATGATTTTGGATGAAATCTATATACTAGTACATAACAGGCTCAATTATAGTCCAGCAGGACACATCAAATTAATCCCTTGGGGAAAGTATTAGACATTTATTGGAAATCTTTCTTTTCTTTTTGGCTTCCTACTTTAAAGACGTTATCTGCCAACAAGGAGCTGCCATGGCAACAGTCCTTCATTGCACTGTGAGGATTTACTGTAGTCATTATAACGATAGAAATCATTGTTTTATATTACAGAAAGGATCATGTCAGGTTCCTCAAAGATTCTCATTTCAGCAAGACACCTGCTTAATCAGGGTATCAAAATAATATGATAACATCACAGAGAGATGAACTTTTACCATCTCAAGGTCCAAGTTTGTTCAGTATATGGTAAAGTCATGTATGGTATTTAATTATGTGGTAGAAGCATTACCCTAGTCTTACCCTGAAATATAACCAGACTGTGGGGGGAAATGCTCTTGACTGTGGAAGGAAAGGCAGAACCTTCAGCCAGTCAGTGTCAAGTTCATTTTATTACAGTTGAAAAGGGATTACCCAATCTTTCAACCAGCAGGGGATTGATAGGGGATCACTAACTATGCACACACTTTCAGCACATTCCAATGATGCTGATAAACTTTGGAGTCTGACAGCCAGGTCAGGTAACAGAGAGGACAGAGAGGACTATGAGTTTTCTCTGAGTGGAACCTTTGTGTTGCAGGAACATGGCTGGCTTGTTCTAGGTCACACTGCTGAGTGATCCAGCTGGGGAACAGGGAGATATACTGCTCCACATTTTTGCGAAAGGAATGGCCATGAGGTCATGAAAGAGTAAAATGATCCATCTTCTTGGGACAATGAACATGTTTAGCTGGTGAACACTGAAAATGGACTCTTTGGCCTGAGAGTGGTCAGTGTGTGAGTAATCTGTGTAACTGGAAAAAGAACAGTTCTTGGTAGCACGCTTAGTAATTTTCAGGGCAATTAAAACTTGAACAAAGGTTGGATTCATCTTCTGGAATAAATATTGTGCAAATTGGCCAATTGTAGTCATGGTTTACATCCTATGTGAAAAAACTGCAACTTACACTATCAGACCCGCATTTTAATTTAGTTTAGGTGGCGGACAGAAACTAGTGAGGACAGACAACCAACAGGAGCCACAACCAAAATAAAATAATAGCATTTACATATTTGTAAATACATCCAAAATACAGCTTATTTAATTTTATTTTTCATTCATTCATTCATTCATACAGTACTATGTCCAGTTCTAGAAGTTATCCACAAGGTGGCAATACATACAAATCATCTGCATTTTCTCCGATTGCTGCTCTATCCAGCCCTCAATTAAAGACACTGTTTTACAGATAAAATGTGTTTCTTGCTCTTCACAACTACAGTCCTCAGAAATTTGAACCTTTTCATCCAAGTCTCTCCAGACTTGGGTGAAACATGGTTTAGACAAAAAAAAAACAAAAAAAAAACACTGCATTGACTGAGATTAAATGTATTAGTACATACAGAGTTATAGTGAAATAAAGAGATGAGACATGGACAAACAGCAGATTAACGTGCAATATATTTAATTCACTGTTCACGATGGATGAAGCGTTTCAACCACAACTCCAGTACCAATGTGGTATCGTTAGTGTCATGTCAAGTGCAATAATTATATTTGAGTGATTCATGTTAATTACCTTGAAAGTTACTCTTGATTTGTTCTGGTCTCAAGGTGCACATACATAGTTTATATATTGAAATGATTAGTACCATGCTGGTTTAGATTTTCTTATGATTCATGAAAACAACAGTGATTTCAAGTCACAGAATGCTCTTTAAATGTCATTTGAGAAAAAGCATTTTAATAAGAAAGCAGCCCTGTGATAGACTGGTGACCTGTCTGGGGTGTGGCTCATCTCCACACATGCAAACTCCACACAGAAAAGCATCAGGTTGGCCAGAGCTTGAACCCCAAACCATCTTGCTGTGAGGCAACAGCACTAACCACTGCATCACCATGCTCTTTTGAATGCAGCAAGTAGATCGTTTCCCCTCTCAAGCTGGACATTTTGTGGTTTAAATATTGATGATGAACGAGGCTCACGGTCCATCTACAAAGAACCTACATGTTATGCATTCATTACCATGTTTGACCCTGGACTTTAGCAGTCTCATAATTCAGACTGAAATACAATTTTGTTTACCTTTGCAGAATAAATCAATGGTGTGGGTGGTGATTCAACAGGTTTGGACTTCAGTGGGTAGACGCTGTGTTGGACTCTTGTGGCAGTATGATGTCAATATGTAGCCCATTTAAATCCAAATAATGGTGAAATAACTAGCATGCTTTATAAGAAACCAGTAAGAGTTGCTGGTGGAGTACACAAAACCCTATTATTAATTTTTGATCATGGCTGGATTGACCCGCAAAAGGACTTCAAGGCAAATATGAGCTGCTGAGCCTTTTTAACCTTTTGTTCCTTCCCATTTATACACAGTGTGCAGTATTTCTACGAAAGATTAAAGTTGTTATGAGTTTTATTTTGAAAGGTGTAGCGGGAAGTTGTATTTTGAAACAGTTCTGCATAATTGGCTGCACCTGGACTAAATTGAGCTGTTGAGAGCATCTGGTGTCCCGTGCTCTTGTTTACCTGTCCCCTACAGTGTTTTGGAGCTAACGCTTGAACAATGTCCGATAAAGCGGAGGTTAATCTAAATGGAGTCAAACAAAGTAAAGGCGTGTGGCTTGTAAAGGTCTGTTTACCTGTGTATTGATCAGAATATTGGAGGTCACATGAAAACATATGCTCATGCTGCTTTGACAGAGGCTGATGCTACCCAGTGGTTTCAGTTCTGCTGCTTATTTTCATCGCTAAAATAAAAAATGTATAAAAGTGATGCGTCTAGGAACCAAAAACAAACAAAACCAAAACAGTACGGCCTCCTTGTTCTGTTTATTTTGTACCTACTTAACTTTATTTTAATAATAAGCTCCTCCTCTTTTGCCAGGTCCCCAAGTATTTGCCACAGCAATGGGACAGGGCCACGGGAAAGCGAGAAGTTGGAAAGATCACCATTGCCAAGTATGTGCTTCTTTCTGAATCTTCATTAACAAGATTCTATCCTCTCCTTATGATTATCAATATAAGAGCTACAACTGGCTGATTGGCAAGAAAATTGTCAAATAATTAGAGTGTTAAAAATGCATTTGCTAGTTTCAGCTTCTTGGCTGTAAGTTGGCCTTTTTCATGCTTTGAATTGTTGATCTAATAGAACAAGCTATTTGAAGATATTGCCAGGTGTTTGTAATTGTGAAGGGCTTTTGTCACTGTTTTCTGACATTTTGCAGACTAAATGGTTGTGCCCATTCATCAGAAAAACAAGCCACATGGATAAATAATGATCCAAAAATTGTGCAGAATTAAAATAATTATTGGTTGTAGGTCTAATCATTCTACTTTTTCTGTCTTCTCACACAACCGGCAGGAAGGAAGGCAAAACAGAGGTGAGACATAATACTGCACAGACACCTTGTACAGCAGACCTGTGTGACTTTTGGGTTTGTGGCATTGAGTAACACTTGCACTTCTAACTGTGACTTTTTATGCATTGTTTGGAGCTTATATTCTACATTTACTCAAAGTTATATGACAGCTTTCCCTTGTTGTTTATGGTGTTTTCCCAGTTCTTTGTTGCATGATCCCATCACTGTTTGCTGCTGCACTGACCTAACTTCCTCACAGGGATCAATAAAGTTTCATCATATCATATTTGACCTTAACTGATGAAAGACAGAGTTAATCTGGGTTTTCAGCAGCATCTTGACTCAGCTTTGTTTATCAGGTACGTTTCAGCCTGAATGAGGAGCTGACTGCTCTGGGTGCTGCTGAGGAAAAGGATGGATCACTGCAGGTCCCGACGGTTCATCCCATCACTATGCACACAGTGGGTGGACAAACCTTGGCTGTCTTCAGCCAGAGCAACTCAGGTCAGTCCTGCATTATGTTTATGTGGTTCTGGCAAGAAACTGTCAGAGGATTAGAGGGATGCAATGGTTTTCAGAAGGTTTGCAGTAATTATGTCAGCAGGACAACATGGACCCTGGTGTAGGTATTAGGTTTATTTATTTATTCATGAGATTGACCCAAGATCTGAAGTAGTAAGACAGCAAATGAAACTTAAGGCATGTAGATGAATTTTAATGAGTTTTAAGTCTAGAATTAACTCTGAGAAAGTGGTAGTAAGAGACAAAGACCAAGAGACAAATCCTGAATCTGCTCCACTGCCAGCTGGAAGAGAACATCTCAGTTTATTCAGCATAGTAGCATACTGTAGTAGTCTTTCTAGTTTATTATGTTTTCTTGGTTTGGGGAAAAGCTGCTGTTGAGAGTCTATGTTGATTGCAGTGTAAAACTCGTGAGAATACTCAGTGGCTTCTGATTTTTTTGGAGAGTGTTTGCTGCTAGGCACGATGTGTCATAGTGCTTTCTGAGCCACATGGATCTGCGGGGATTTGCATCAGAAGCAGAGCTTTAAAAATACTGTAGCTGCCTGCAGCTGTGGGGTTTAGTGTCTAAAAACACGTAACCTGAGTATTTCAATTAAATGCTACCTTTGGATGGGTTAATTGTATTTATCAGACCACTTGAAAGTAAATAAAAATGTAGATTTATTATCTTTCAAGACAATAAATTACAGAAAAATATAATGAAAGGTGTACTTAAAGGGAAATGAAACCAAAGACTCAACAGTTTCTATACTCCAGTGATAACTTTAATTTAGTGAAATGGTAAATAAATAGCAGCAGGTTGCAGGGTGTTCAAGTCAGCAAAGTGTCTAGAGTAGTCCTGTGTCTTTCAGAGTACCAGAGCTCAGTAACAATTGAATAACAAGCACCTGAAAGGGTGCACATAACTGGGTGTTCATAGCATAAAAATAACAAGCATGTTTTGAGCATACACAATCACAGCTACATTAGTTGCCAAAATTTTAGCGTAAATGGAAAGTGTGAATCAGAATGGAGCAGTGCAGAGTTTTGTAGTGCAGCTTGGCATGAAAAAGGATGCAAGTGTGATGGCACCAAGAGTGACAGGACTTAATATACAGTAAATAGCAGCTAAAATATGACACGCTTTCAGAAAATACAAGAATGTTTCTTGCTGATTTTTGTTTTTAAATAGGCTAGTATGATCAAACTTTTCTCAACTTGTACAAAAGCAAACTGCAAAAATGTACTGCAGAGTTAGTTCATAGCTGTTATTGCACTGTACAGTAAGTGGAATCATGGGTAGTACATGTTGATGTGGGACATTACAGCAGATTTATTGACATACATTACAGTATTTGTGTCCAAATCAGTAGTGACTGAATAGACAGTCCAATGTGTTTACTGTTTAGAACGATGTTTAACTTGATATGATTTGTATGCCAGAATTGAAAATAGTGGCTGCTCTTGTGTTGTCAGTGGTGCATGTGGATGGCAGACACAGTAGATGTTTTTGCTCAAGATAATCCGTTTTCTTTCCCCAAGGGTTTTGTTGAAGTATTGATTTGGCTGCTGTGGTTGACTGGAAGACGGTGCTGGAGCCAGACCATAATGTCTATAGGTTTAGATGGCCTTTCCCTAGTTTACTCGTGTGTTTAAATTGGTTGGTATTGAGTCCATTTCACATGGTTTTCTGTCTGATTCAACCAGTTTTGCAGGGTGCATGTTTCCAGTGTTTGAAAGTAGTGATCTACATGTAATTGTAATTCTAGTAGTGTAACTACACGTTGCAGTAGCTTGCTGGTAGTGCATTCACATTTGCATAGTGATTTTGCCATGTTTGCGTAGTTAAATATTGAAACTACAAACAGTTTTGGGCCATGACAGTAAAGGAGTGATTTATTTATTTTATTTTATTATGCTGCATGTGAGCAGCTTTACAGCGTTGCATGGATAGTTTCAGATCCATACAGAACCAAAAGTTGGATAAGAACCCTGAGAGACTGTTCATGTGTCATATAAACAAGAGATACTGCTCTGAAAAGGAGAAAGAAAGGCCCATTATTTAGACCAGTGTTCAAGCTGTTCACACTGTATAAAAAGGTGCGAGCTGAAGACGGTTTTAGTTGTGGAGATTATCAATCAGGTGTTATAAAATGGACAAGTTTAAAAGAATGAACATTGAAATCAGTCATTATCACTCATTCTGGCTAAGATGACGATTCACAGCTGGCAGGTACAAGTGGGACAGGGAGGAAGGGCTGCTGGGAGTGTGGGGGCTGCTTTCATGCTCTGCTTTAGGATATGTGGCAAATTAGGTTGGATGGTTATCTTACATAGTCAGCTTTGGCTTTAGTGTGTTTGTACAGTCTGTGGTTCCTAAACTATTAGCCAACTAGCTCGCTATGATTAGAACATCCCTGTGGATGGGAGACCGCAGGCACGGCTGAAATGACCAGTTTTCGCTAAGTTTATGGTTATATAACAGGTATTTTGATAAACAGACCCACCAGGATTCTATGGCCTCTACCAACACCTGAGGAAAACATAACCACCAAATGCTCCACTATGAGTGTGTGCAGTCATTAACTGTGTCCGTCTGTAGTTTGCTTTGGAGCTGTTAGTTTACAGTAGGCTTTTAGTGCTTTTTATCGCTGAAAACAGTTGCCTGCTGTAGACAAAAATGCTGGACTGGACACTTGAGCTGGAACTCATAGAAAGCCTTGGGGAGTTGCAGATTTGGATGATAATTCTCTGTAGGCTCAACACTATAAGCAACTTTATTTAGTTACATTGTATTTGTTACAAACATATTCAACTGTTTTAAAGGACATTTGCAAATGTGTACTAAACTACTAGTGTAAAGAGTGGAGAGAGAAGATGGAGAATGACTGAAAATGAGCAAGGAAGAGATGTAAACTACACTGAAACTGAGATTCAGTTTTAGTGCATAGTTTGTGTGGAGGTTAGCAGACATTTGGAAAGAGCTAGAGCTACAGATTAGAGTCTCTCTAACATCCAGATGTTTACCTGTGAGAACAGTCTCGTGTGAGTGACGCCCCTCACTTAGTATATTCAGTAGAAAATACATGTCTGTATGAAAATGGTATTACTGAGCCAGGGTTATGTTTGTTGTCTCTGTTGTTTCCTAATATAAAACCACAGCTCAACTGACAAGATATTAGAATTTCTGCATGTTACTGCCATGACAACAGATTTCTCCTCGGCTTCTCCTCTCTTGAAATAAACTGGCAGGGGCACATCCCACAGCCACAAGGTTTATTCTGTCACTGCCCTTATGTGCTTTAGATGCACACACACGTGCATGTGCGTTATTACGTCCTGCATTTGGTAATGGATTTATTTCTTTGTCAAGGTTTCTTCTATTATTTATTTATTTATTTATTTTCTTTTTCACCAAAAACAGGAACCATTCAGAATGCTAAAATGTGCTAATGAATCTTTAAAAAGATACATTTAGATTAAGGAAACACTGCTAAAGCTTTGCATTTTAGTGTCAAAGAGGATCATTAGTATTATATTGTTGTGTTTTTGAATGTGGAAACATGGCATTCAGGAGGCGTAAAAACCTCTTGGTTTTTCTTAAAGGTGTCAGTGCTCCAGATGGCTGGCTTGACTGTGAAAGTGCACTGGAACCAAGAAGTAGGATAATGTCCTCAGAGATGTGGTGGTGTGTGGTCTCTGTTTACCTGACAGACGCTCAGCTCCACCCACACTCGCCCACAAGAAGGTGTACTGCATGACACCAGTCTCCCACTCGCTTTCTGCAGTCCGGCGCTCTCAAGCGCACACATGCACAGGCAGTTGTCCAACCTCACTGTACTTACATGTACACGCTTGTACTGGTTTTATCTGCACTTTCGCTCTCACACTTTTTGCCTCACACCTACACACATTTCACCAGTTCTTGACACCTTGGACAGAGCAGGGTTGTGTTTTGAAATGCTAATTTACATGTGAGAAACTCAGTCAAATGTATAATCAGCTATCAGTCTCAGATTTTAAAACTTAAATATGTTATATATAGGATGAAGGTAGATATCAAATAACCAGTTTTTAAGTTTTAGGTCAGACAATATTTACTCTGAACTGTCTGATTAAGAATTAAATCCTGAATATACTACAGTGTAAATATAATAGTGCTAAAGTAAAACACCAGTACTACTGCTATTTAAGGTATCCTACTACTCACCACTAACCTTAATACTGCCTCTATTTCTGTTGCAGTACCACTACCACATAATGTGCCAGCACACAGTTTTGCTCGTTTTGGACTTTTTTAGAATCTGCAACACTCTAAGTTGTTTTATTTCAGAGGCTAACATTTGATTCTGGGGATCATTGTCAGTTTTGGCACCTGAATTTCATTTAGTTTTAGACTTAATCTTATGATCAAACATTAATACAGGATGATTTCTGTAACAAATATTTAGATGGCAATTTAGATGATTGACTACTCACATTTAGCCTGGAACATGGTTTTGACTGGTACAGAGTGAGGACATTTTAGCCGGTCCTCACTTCCTGAAATTGCTTTTTGAGGGTTAAGACTTGGTTTTAGGGTTCAGGTTAGAATTTGATTTAGATTAGGGTTTGGCTTTTAGTTCTGATGGTTAAGGTAAGGGGCTAGGGAATGCATTATGTCAGTGAGTGTCCTCACGCACTTGCAGACATTCACGGTTCCGAGAACATTTGGCTGTATTTCCTGCACCACCAACAGGTCAGAACACCCTCTTGTCTAACACAGCTGATAAAAGGACAACTCTAAAACTAACTAATGAAATTCCTATTAACCTCTGCAATTAGTTATATTAACCTGTATTAACACATTGTTAACATGCTAGCTTAAAAACTAAAACAGAAGAAAAAGTTTTATATTTTTATTTTGTTTTCTGACTTTTAAGTACACCATATTCCAAATAGCGTTAGTATTGTGTTTGAGTATTACATAAAATAAAGACCAGTGATAGTTCACAGTATGT